AGCCAGCTTTCTATCCACCGTATAGTCCATTCATCCAATCCATACTTTTTAACCTGCTGGCAAGAATACTGTGGAAGACCATATCAAAAACTTTGCTAAAGTCAAGATATATCACGTCCACCATTTCCCCCCTATCCACAGAGCCAGTTATCTCATCATTATTTATTATTAATTAATATTATTAGTCATTAAGAGGTTGGTGAGACAGAATTGTTTCATATTTCTTTATGCATAAAAATGTTTTTATATACTAAGATGATCTCCAACTTAGCAGTACCATGAATAGAAAAATGAACACATGCTTAATGTCCTGAGTACTGGGATATTTTTGTATTACAATAACTGCAACCATGTCCTCCTCCTAATATGTATCACCTAATGTTATTTGTTTTTAAAGGTAGGAAGGTAGCTTTGAAAGGCAACACATTTGGACAGATCTCTTTATAAACAAGAAAAAATTGCATGAGTCTTTCCGTTCCACTCTACCATTATCAACCAATCACAGGAATCATAGAAAAAATGGGACCTTTCTAGGATTGTGGGGCCACCTCGTAGTAAATCCTTATCACCTGCTACTTTAAGGTTGAATTTCACTCCTTCACTGGGGGGGAAAACAAGATCTGTGCCTGAGCTAAATCCCACTTAAGCCCTATTTTGAAGACTTAAGAGGAGCAGAGGTCTTGTGTTGCTCTCCGTAAATGGATGAATTTCACCCTAAATGTCACCCTTTTCTGTGTCTCCTCCCCCACCCCTCCCTTTATTGGGGATGACCAGAATAGGCAAAGAGCTAATTCAGATCCCTCCCCTAATGTCAGCTCTATATTTACATGTTGTTGCATCTCACTAACAGCAATACAGAGGAAAGTACCATCATTGAATTTTTTAATGTAAAACAAATCCAGCTAGGAAAATATTTGGGCCAAAATATACGAGCCCAGGTTCCTAAAGTTAAGTTTCTAACTCCATATGTTATGAGGCTTGATCTTACAAGGTGCTGAGCATTCTGGCACTGACCCAGCTAGTGGGTCTACTCATGTGCTTAAGTGTTTGGCTGGATCAGTGCTCGGCCCGTTGCAGGATAGAGCCCCAAAAGAGAAGTGGATTGATTTCAAAAGTGCTGAACCCTGCTTCCCCTGGTGAGTCCCTGCTAAAGAACCTCATTCTTTGAGGTGCTGGACACCTTCAACAATGACTGAAGCCAGTGGGGATTGAAGGTACCCAGCACCTTGCAGGTTTCATTCCATAATCATGCGTCTTCTATTTAAAGGCCTAAACGTGGAATTAAGAGCTTAACTTTAGGCATGCTAGATAGGGATTTTCAGAAGAGTCTAAAGGGGAGTTAGGTGCCCAACTGAATTCCAGTGGGAGGGAGGTACCAAAATCTCTTAGACGCCCCAAATTTGAAAACTATGGTCTGCCATAATAAAATCACAGTGGTGATGATGTACCACATTCTTTTTGGCCTTTGAACAAATGGAACTTCTTTTTTCCCCCTAATTAAATCCTGTATGTGCATATTTACGCATTTTCAACATGCTATAAATACCTTTGGCATTTCCAATTGATCCATTCCCAACAGCAGACTAATTGCAGTCCCTCAGCCAATATCTGCAATGCGCCAAAATTCTGTACTGGAGGGATAATATATACGTGAGACAGTGCAGTTTCTAAAGGAAGAAAAATAGAAAAGCCCTGGAAGAACAAGTACAAGGGCAATTGTGCTTAACTTTGCTTGCCAGACAGACTATAATACATACTGAGTCAAAAAAAGAAAAAGAAAAAAAGAAAGACATTTCCCAGACAGACTGAAAAACTGCAATCAAAACTGGGTTGATTTTATTCACATATTTCAGAGGAACAGCCGTGTTAGTCTGTATTCGCAAAAAGAAAAGGAGTACTTGTGGCACCTTAGAGACTAACCAATTTATTTGAGCATGAGCTTTCGTGAGCCACAGCTCACTTCATCAGATGTGAATATTCATCAGATGTGAGCTGTGGCTCACGAAAGCTCATGCTCAAATAAATTGGTTAGTCTCTAAGGTGCCACAAGTACTCCTTTTCTTTATTCACATACTGTATCTGAAGCTTGATGTGCCTGATGCTTCACTTGAAAAATTAAGGACTGTAACTCAAGCAGGCCTCAGATGTAAAAGCTTTCTGGCAGTGCAATTCACCCCTGCAAAGACAGCCTGGCCAAATGAGATGCTGTAAGGGGTGAAGTTTACCCTGGGTGAATATTGTTTCTAGACTAGTATTTAAAACAACAGGCAATGAAACCTGTCTTAAGCGACAAACCAAAGTTGGTTAGAAAGCAAACAAAGCATTACTGGAAATCTTGGGAATGTTTTAAAGTGGTTGCTAGCATTAAAGCAGCAGTTCTTAAATTGTGGTTTGGGACCCCAAAGTGGGTCGCAACCCCATTTTAAAAAGGTCACCGGGACTGGCTTAGACTTGCTGGGGCCCAGGGGCTGAAGCCAAAGCTTGAACCCCACTGTCTGGGGCCAAAGCGGAAGCCTGGGTCCAGAGCCAAAGTCCAAGGGCTTCAGCCCTGGGTGGCAGGGATCAGGTTACAGGGCCCCTGCCTGGGGCTGAATCCCTTGGGCTTTGGCACCTCCAACCAAGGTGGTGGGGCTCGGGCAGGCTCAAGATTCGGTCCCCCTCCTGGGGTCGTGTAGTAATTTTTGTTGTCAGAAGGGGGTCGCGGTGCAATGAAGTTTGAGAACCCTTGCATTAGAGGGTACTTATCAGTGATGCTGCCCCTAAAGGCAGGTTTCAGCGGGTTTAAACAAATGCTTTGGTTGGTACATTGTATTCAAAGGGGATGAAACCTTGCTTCTGAACTGGCACCTTCAGTTTAGTATGGGTCATCATATGAACATATAAAATCCCTAGTGTGCAAATCAAATGGCACTTGTGAATTGCTGTTTAAATTTGATCCCACCATTTTGCTCATGCATTCATTTCCCCTCACAACATTCCTCATCTAAGCATGCAAACAGAAGTTGTGTGTCACAGTTCAGGGCAACTGCACTTGTCTTCCCCTGTATGGTCCACCAGGGGCACCCACTCTCAGGTTTCCATGTCCCCAGCCATTACCTGTTTGGTAGAGTCAGAATGCCTAAGCAGGCCTGTTTTGCTTTTCCCCTCAGAGACTATAAACAGCGTAATTACCCACAGTTATAAGCAGGGATCCTAGTTTTCCACAATAAAAAAAACCAAAATTCTCCAATTAAAAAAACATTAAAATCTGTGTTTTTCCATGATTAAAATGAAATGCTGAATTTTTGTTTTCCTAGCCACAATATAGATAGGTATCAGCTGAACACAATGTTTTATTGATAGATTTACAATTTTTAAGCAAGTTTGAAGCCTATGAGTGCCATCAATCATTATAATAAAATAAAATTAATAGAATTGCAATTTGTAATCTACAACCTTGCTGCATACAAGTACAGAACAGCACATTACCATCAATGTGAAATTTGTCCTTGCCAAACTCAGTGACACGGTCTTTAGGAGTGATTTTTAAAGTTTTCAGCATCTTTTTCTAACTTTAATTACTCACATCTAGAGGCTAAAGTGAAATTTGAGATGCATTAAAACACAAACCCCTATCCGTCATTGAGTAACCACTATATTCCAGAAGCAGTTTATTGGAATATGTTTAGCTATGTAAATTTAAAGCTCATTGAAAAATCAACCACAAGAGGGGGAGATTGCACACACTGAATAAGTGACACTGGTACTTTCAGTAAAAGCTAGTTAATAGTTAATATATGTTTTTTATTTTTTCACAAAATGTAAAAATTAAAGAGTCCCTGTAAAACCACAAATTCTGTGTTTTTCTGCAGCAAACAGATTTTTAGGATACCTATTTATAAAGTACCACACAGCTTTTTCTAAGCAAGCACATTTTTTCTTAAGGTAAAAGCTTTACAGAAAAAACATATTAAAGCAATAAATGAATTTACACACATGCTACTAAGTTTACCAGAGATCACCCCAACTCAAAAAGGGCTCTGGTAGGAGTCAGTTCTTCAAACCAACAGGGGGTTTTCTCTGGTTACAAGTTCATAACCGCATTGGCTCAGAACAAACACTCTTTCATACAGTTTGGGTCTTCAGTGTGCAGAAACTGTGAATAGATAATCAGCCAGAGAATGGGTCCCCTCCCCATGGCGAAGCTTCCGAAGGTTGGGTCTTTGCATAACGGAAGGTGGTAATTAGCATTCACCTCCACCCAGGTATTTCCTAGGAACCCCACTTAACTTTGTGGCTAGATGGACCATTAGTCTGACCCACTACGGCCATTCTTATGTTTGTCTGGCATATTGTTTAATATAGTGATAACACTTCCCAAGGTTTATACTGGCCATGTCTCTCCACTGGAGAAGTCATGTACAACCCACAATCATATATAAACTTTGCATTTTTAATACAATGGGCACCAAAGATACTTAAACTTAATTCAATAAGATGCAATTTAATTCAATAAGGTTTATCCAGGATATTACTAGAAACTGCTATCTCTGTGCCAATGTGGTGCTAATTGGACAGCAGGACATCTTCAGCATCTGATTTACATGTGCAAGGGCCATTTTGTATGTGCACATTAGGGATGTTGACAGGTTTCAGAGGAACAGCCGTGTTAGTCTGTATTCGCAAAAAGAAAAGGAGTACTTGTGGCACCTTAGAGACTAACCAATTTATTTGAGCATGAGCTTTCGTGAGCTACAGCTCACTTCATCAGATGAAGTGAGCTGTAGCTCACGAAAGCTCATGCTCAAATAAATTGGTTAGTCTCTAAGGTGCCACAAGTACTCCTTTTCTTATTAGGGATGTTACATATGCAGATCACTGCCTGAATTAAATGGAGGGTGCAAATTTGCAAGCTGGGTTTCATCCCCTTTGAAAATCTGTGCCCACACCTGTTTTGTTTACGTTCATGTAAAGATTTGGCCATGTGTTTTAAACACTTTTTCTCTTCTTTTAATTTTCAGTCCTGATGTAGCCTTTCCAGAAGAGCAGCCACATTCCAGCTCTCAGTGTGCCCCTCTCAACTGTCTCTCCAAGCCTCCTCCTTATCCCTAATCTTCAGATGCAACATAAGAGAAAAAACAAACACACAAACTGAGTGGAGCTCACACAACAAAGGTTTAAGTTGCTCCCAAGGACCCAGTAGGCAATCCTGCCTTGTTGCTGCGTTGACAAGTCTGGATTCATATCCGTTTTGGCAACCGAGTGTTGGCTGAGAAGTAGGACACAAAGCACAGAGCCCTGCCTGTCAAAAAGACTTTTTATGGTTCCTCTAATTATATTCAAACTTTGCTGTCACACCTGAAGTTTAGTGAAATTTAACAGCGTGAGAAAATGTTCCTCCCAGCTGCGTGGCTTTACCTCTGAAATATTGAGAGACTTAAGCCAATATTTTAAAAAATTATGTTACAAAATCCTATTTTCACATCCTCCACGTTCAGCCATAGGAACTAGTTCAGATTTTCTTTTCTGTTGTTAAGGGTGTGATATTTATTTTTACTTTATTTGCACCATAATTTTGTGTTTATAAAATGTGGTCCTTGTTTTTTGGGTTTTGTTTTGTTTTGTTTCTCTTTTTGGTGAGAGTTGTATTTAATTCATTTTATTTTTTAAAAACAACCAGAAATAGCTTAAGTTAAGAATGACTGAGTTAGTCTTTAAAAAAAAATGATGATTGTTATCTTGGCCAGAGAGTATGGCCTATTTTTTTTTATTGCACAAAAACATTGAAAATGGGGTGAATTGGAATGTTAACAGTGACTTTGTATTTTGCTGCTGCACTGATATTGTTTATGCACTTGTTTTCTAATTTCTATTATACTAGCTGCTGGTTTTGTTCTAGGTCTTCACTGGAAGCTGATTATTAAACCTAAGAAGGAGATTAAAGAATGATGCTTTGATTTTCATTCAGATATTTGCTTGCATTTTAAGTATATTTTTGCATTTCAGACAAGTAGATGAATTGGTGCTTTTTCTGGGGAGGTGGGGAGGGTTCTGTTTGGCATCTGAGAAAGAAAAGCTAAAGCAACTTGAAGTAAAATGTTGTGTGTTAATTAAAAATTTCAGTTTTTTCTCCTGCTCCCAAATTGAGGGTACTAGTTTGAGGAATGACCAGTGAAAGTATAAAGAGTAAGAATGGTGAGGTTATATACATTTAGCGTGAGATATTCTATGGTGAAATACCTCATGCATGTAGGGTTAATGGCTTGGAATGAAATTGGCAGGATTTTACTGTAGTGCATTTTTTCCCTTGCCAAATATTAACAAATACAGAACCTTAGCTCATTGTCAGTTTATGACAAATACTCAGGTGACCTATGGTGCACAGTGTTCCAAGTTAAAGATTCTCTCCTCTAAATGCTGAATAAAGCTGTGTTGCAGAGTAGTGGATTTTCATAGCAAAATGAAGGATAGCTGAATTTATTTTGCACAGAATCTGACAGCAAGGCAAGTAGCTAAATAAGCTGTGGTGTCTTAGCACCTTTGGGCTTCTTATCTGGTCATCAAGATGGAAAAATACAAGTACTGCCCATTCGTTGCTAATTAGCATACTCCTTGTTCTTGGTCAGTGGCCTTAACTTATTTAAAGAAGACAGGCGTTGACATGTCCATGTTTCTGTCTGTTTCTTCTCTGTGGTGTTAATATGATCCACAAGATGGAAATACAAATACAGTTTACTATTTGCAGCAATTAAAAAAAAATTATTACAGATATAATTGGAATAATTCAATATAACTGAATCTGAGGAAATGAACACTGTCCTCCAATACTAAAAATGCTTACCAAATGTAATAACGTACAGTACATAAGTGGAGGAAAGAATCAGTGGCCAATCAGTGTGCCTAACAATCATTACCATAGTACCAGTAATGAAGGTGCTGTAAATAGAAGTATCCTAATGTAATCAACAATGTACACTATATAACCTTGTCAGAGCCATTGAGCTAATGTAATAAAACGTGTAGAATCGGAGGTGGAGAAAAACAGAAACAAATTCATGTAAAAGTCTGATCATACCAACCTAACAACTCTTTGCACTGTTTCTATATACGTTTCCAAGATGTTCACATGATCCTTCTTGTATTGCATTCACATAACTATTTAGTGCCATACTTAACCCACTCTTCTTACAGAAAAGTCAGATAAAACTTGTTTAGCATTATTATGCTGTTTGGCACTAAGATTAGCTGCTATGTAGATTTTTATGAAAGAACTGTTTTGTCTGGGCAAATGTTGCCTTTAAAAAGCACCTCAGAATACCTGATGATGTTAGATCAGTATATTATTATTCCTCAGTGGTAGCATCTGTGTCCAACAAAGATAGCTACTGCATATCAGTTAAGTGAGAAAAGAATTAGCATTGCCACACTGTATACAGTTGCTGTAAACTGTATTTAGAATATTATCTCCTGTTTTCATATCCAAACCAAACATCTGTTGAAACTATAAAGAACATTTCTTCCCCCTAATTTAAATATATGTTTTAGCTTTTTTTATATAGATATGAATCTGTGGAGAAAATACTTGTTTTGAAATATTCATTCAATAGTATATTCATTTTTAATTGTGATTTTCAAAGTAAAATTAGCAACTCTGATATACTGTACTGGTATGGCCGTTTGGATCAAGAGTTATAGAAGAGTGTTCCATGGATTAGAAATTTTGGTCATGTTTTACAGAAATAAGTGGGGTTTTTTAAATTTTTGATTCTCTTGTGATGCTTTAATTTAATTCCTAATCAATTTATAATTTTTTAAATATAATAAAGCAAGAATACGTGCTTGAAATTTAAGAGATCTAGGAAAGAACCAACTTAAATGTAAAAATGACTGTGGTTATTGCATTGTAAGAAATAAAGCTTTGTAGGCCCCAGAGCAGTCTTGCCTCTTTTGTCAGTTCACTGGGGGAAAAAAGTATCTTAAACTTCAGAAAACGTAAAGCCTTCTTGGTTAGATGATAATTAGTGATGTAAAGTTTTACCAAATGTCTGGTAAGAATTGTTTCTGAACCTCTGCCAGAAAAAAAACAAACCCCAAGTTGTTTTTAATGTTTGCAAAATGTTGAATGTAGCCGTTTTAAAAAATCATTCCTAACGCATTGCCATCTATCTTGATTTTAAAATAAAGGGAAAAAAAGAACACATATATTCTTAAAGGCTGGGTATACTTAGAAATATTGATGTGTATCCCCCACAGCAAAGAAGCGCCTTTCAAAAGTTTGTCCAGACTTTCAGGTTTGAAATGCAGATATTGTTCATAAAGAGGGCCTTGGAGTCTCTCTGGTTGTCAGGTAGCCTATAAATTGCATGTCTGCTTTTTCCTTTTTTCTGACCTTGGGAGAGTTGTTTCCTGGTAGAAACAAATAATCCACATCTGAACAGCCAGTTACTGGAAATTTGTGGAAGGAAAACAAAATGAACAGTGTAAATCAAATTAAAATATAAGGTGAGAAGAAAGTGAATTAATGAAAAATTGTAAAACAGGGGAGCAGGGAAGAATATATTTTCTACCAGTGTCAGAAGGTAACCTTGAAACTTTTATAGAAAGAGAAAATATTGATAATTTCCCATCTCAAATCATGTAAGGGTCTTTGCCTTTTAGATAGAGGCAGTAGGGAGATCCTTTTTAATTGATCTCTGACAGGTTGGCATCTCCATGCTTATTCAACCCAAGTAGAATGAATGTAATTATAACTATACATTAGGATTAGTAGACTGAAACTGTTTATTATTAAGATAAGGTGGAAAATTTTAATACGAAGATTATGCTTCCGTTTTTTCCTGTTTAAAAATATGGAGTGGTTTTAACCATTTGCCATACATATCATAGAATCATAGAATCATAGAATATCAGGGTTGGAAGGGACCCCAGAAGGTCATCTAGTCCAACCCCCTGCTCAAAGCAGGACCAATTCCCAGTTAAATCATCCCAGCCAGGGCTTTGTCAAGCCTGACCTTAAAAACCTCTAAGGAAGGAGATTCTACCACCTCCCTAGGTAACGCATTCCAGTGTTTCACCACCCTCTTAGTGAAAAAGTTTTTCCTAATATCCAATCTAAACCTCCCCCACTGCAACTTGAGACCATTACTCCTTGTTCTGTCATCTGCTACCACTGAGAACAGTCTAGAGCCATCCTCTTTGGAACCCCCTTTCAGGTAGTTGAAAGCAGCTATCAAATCCCCCCTCATTCTTCTCTTCTGCAGGCTAAACAATCCCAGCTCCCTCAGCCTCTCCTCATAAGTCATGTGTTCCAGTCCCCTAATCATTTTTGTTGCCCTTCGCTGGACTCTCTCCAATTTATCCACATCCTTCTTGAAGTGTGGGGCCCAAAACTGGACACAGTACTCCAGATGAGGCCTCACCAATGTCGAATAGAGGGGAACGATCACGTCCCTCGATCTGCTCGCTATGCCCCTACTTATACATCCCAAAATGCCATTGGCCTTCTTGGCAACAAGGGCACACTGCTGACTCATATCCAGCTTCTCGTCCACTGTCACCCCTAGGTCCTTTTCCGCAGAACTGCTGCCTAGCCATTCGGTCCCTAGTCTGTAGCTGTGCATTGGGTTCTTCCGTCCTAAGTGCAGGACCCTGCACTTATCCTTATCTGTAAACAAAAAGAGGAGGATTTGTTAAAAGATGATAAAGACATTGCCAATGAAGGCTGCAAACCTGGAATCATATGAGTATCAGTGTTTACGTACAGCAGCTAGTTATATGGGGCCCAGTCCTGCTTACATGGGCTGCAATGCAAGCAGAACTGGGCCCATATTATGCTAGCTACTTTAGAACTTGACCTTGCATCACTGGAGGAATTTTGCCATCAACTTCAGTAGAAATGGTGAGGGTGCATAATGAGGTTATAGATTACACATGCTCTTCAGAGGTCTTTTCCCTTTCTCAAGTGATAGATGTACATCTGTTGGAGTTGCAGTTGTTTCTTTCTGTACTAAAGAAGTCTTTATTTGAAAATTGCAGGCACTGATGTTTTACATTTGAAGCATGATCATTGCTGTATTTACCTCTTTAAAAATGATAGCCATCAATTTACTTCCGTTTTTCTCCTGCTGTACATGCAGTATGTCTCAAGGAGATATACAGTATTCAGAACTTTTTTCACCGTTGATGAATGTTGGGGTTTTTTAATTTTTAAAAAGAAATACACAAAAAAGCAATTAATTGCCTTTAGCCTTAAGGCACAAATGCACCTAAATATGCAATATAAAATGTGTGCATGAGATTCTTTAAATCATGTAGTCTTTTCCATGAGCATGATGATGAAGCTAGAGAATTCTTATTTCTTGTATGAACCATTACTCCCTGTGTCAGAAATGCAAGACAGCTGTTACAAAGAGTCTGTACATTACATCCTAAGAAGCATGGCTTAAATCCTCCTTGCATTTTAATCTCTTTCCTGTGGAGTTCTTGAAAATCCCCCTCTATTAAATCTAAAGTTAACAAAGTGACAAACTGACGTCAGATAAAGGAAAATTCCCATATTCTATAAATGTAGTTAATTTGTTGTCAGACTCTGGATGATAGGGCCTTGGGTTTCAATTACTGTCTTTATATGGAGGTGTTTGTTCTGCTCATCATTATTAAGCCATAATAGAAACAGTGGAGATTATTGTATGGTTTTTCTCATCATTAGTAAACATGGTTAAACAAATGGTTTTTTATTAAAACTTGTTTTTGATTTAAAAGTGTGCTGGAGATTAATGAACAAAAGAGGCTGACACAAATGAACTGGTTTGCTAGCTGGTTCAGCTGTGAAGAAGAAATAAGAAAAATCTAGCTTTTTAAATGGTTGCTATTATTGTTATTAATGATTATTTATTATTATTCACAGGTATGGCTTTGTGCACCATACCAGTGGGTAAATTAAGTGCATCTCACTAGTTATCGCCCTAATTTCAAGCCCTATGGTTTGACTGTTACAGGGTTAATTAACTTGATCCTTTGTTAAAAAAATGTTAAAAAAATACCAACAAAATCTGATGTTTTGTGACTTTTGTAATCTATTGAACATTTCCATTTGCATGATGATCTGTATCTAACAAACCATACCAACTGCTGTGTTCATTTCCAAACAGTTTTAACATTGGTGATGTTTGTGATAAACACAAATTTGTGTACTGTATGTTTACTGCTGTTATAACTTGGCTACTCCTATGTTGAATTGAAATTATGTTGTAATGCCTTCCTGGGTTTAAATGATGCAGTGTTTCTGGATGGTGAAGAATACAAAAGTATATGTGCTCATTGACTAAAATATTGAACATGAGAAATTTCCTCTTCTTGTTGGTACCTTTTGTTTAAAAGCAAAAAATGTTGAATAATTCTTGGTTCCAAAAATGCATCATTTGTATTTCAAGTTAAAATAATCCCCATGTTAACCCTTCCCTGCCATGTTTCTTATACCTATAGATAATCCTAGGTGAATGCCTTGTGAGGGATTCATAAAGTATGTGCTTGTAAATGTGTAGTATGATCATGCAGTCAAATGGTTGAGAAAAACAATCCAGTGCTGAAGAAATCAATTAAAAGAATCAAATATACATATAATTATGTTGCAATTAAAATTACAGTGTAATGTATTACTGTCCCAGTAAATAAACTGGCCATTTTTTTTTTCATTTAATTCTATGCTCTCTCTCTCTCTCTTTTCTACCATACTGTCTCTGTAAGTAGTTTGCGGTGTGCTTTCTCTCTCTTTTCTACCATACTGTCTCTGTAAGTAGTTTGCGGTGTGCTTTCTCTCTCTTTTCTACCATACTGTCTCTGTAAGTAGTTTGCGGTGTGCTTTTTTTTTTTTTTTTGGCATTACTTGACGTTACTTGGCTTGGCCTCTTCTCCCCAAGGCCCCACCCTTGCTCCGCCTCTCTCCCAAGGCTCCGCCCACCACTTGCTCCTCTCCTCCCCCCACAATCACTCACCCTTATGGCAGGAAAAAAGTAGGAAAGCATAGCCCTCCCACTGTTAAAAGTGATGAGGCCCCTCTTCCGGTGCCCCTGTTGCTGGGTGTCCAGTTTTTTGACTGGAAAGTCCGGTCAAAAAGTGGACCTGGCAGTACACTAAAAGTCCAGTTAGAGGAGAAAGCGCAATCAGCTTCCCTGCCAGGAGGGTGGGAAGAGCAGCTGCTGCTGCCTGGAGGAGCTGCAGCTCAGCTGGAGAGAGAGAAAACTGGCTCCCAAGGACCTGGCTCTGGCGGAGAGAGTTAGGTACCAGCTCCATGCTGTGCCCAGGAGGATCCTGTCCACACACCCATCCCGCTGTGCTCTTGCCCCTGGACCCTGCCTCACTCCAGCGACCGATCCACCCTACCCCGCTGTTCTCTTGCCCTTGGGCTCTGCCTTGCTCGAGAACCGACTCCCTTCCCCCTCACACTGTGCTCTTGTCTCCGGCCCCTGCCTTGCTCTGGGGACTGACACCCCTGCTGTGCTTGTCCCTGGCTCCTGCCTCATTGAAGGGACCGACATAGCCCCCTGTTAGCCTAGCCCTGGGCTCCCCCACAGCTCTGCCAGTACCCCTCACTCCCAATGTGCAGCCTTCTGCCAACCCAGCCCTGGGCTCTGCCCCAGAAATTAAGGAATAGTGATATACAAAAGCAAAAAATAAACCACACCGTCTTCAGCGCAGTGAAAAGAGCATTAGACATGACTTTTCTATTGTTGTTACTGGAAGTTGTGCATTTTATCCTCTGTGCAAATATTGAAATCTCAAGGATTTTAATTCCAATCCTGCTCTGGTATATATACAATATATTTATTTTATAATTTTACTATTATGTAGAGTTTACCACCGTGTCCAGAAGTCTTTGATTTTTGGATGCCAAAGAAATTAAACGTTACTCTTATTTATCAGCTAAAGATATTATTTAGTAATAAATGTAATTAAGATCTGGGTTTAGAAGGTACCATGCACTGAGCAGTCAAAAATTGTATGGGATTATGAAGGACCAAATTAGGCTTATTTATGGGGGAAAGTTTCATGCGTGTTTATGCCTGCATTTCCTGGAAGTGGATAGTTGGTCCATGTGATTAAGATTTCTTGTTTGTCAGAAAAGAAGTATATGGCCATATAAAGGCAAAGCATACAGTGACTTCATTCACTTTGCTTAAACCTCTGGGAGAGATGGGAGAGAGGTGGAGTGGATGGAGCGATGGGGGAGGAGGGAGAACAGCAAGCGGAAGGGCCAGGGGGCGGGGGGGGGGGGAGGGAAGAGGTGGGGCAGGGTGAGGTTCTGGCTCTCCTGCTTAGTGTCCCACGGAGGCCCACAAATATATTTGGCTCTGGGCCCACAAAAGTTTAGTCCGGCCCTGAATAGAAATGGTTTGCTGTTTCCTTTTACTGAAATTGAGGCAGACATTGGAGTAAGGACTAAATCCACTTATAGTGTTTCCACAAATTCATATAATCTCTGAATTACACCAATATCTGCAGAGGATCTTCATCCTGTGAAGCTCTGTAAAATGCAAATCTCTGGCCTCAAGCAATGTGCAAGCAAAGGAAGACATGAAATCAGCAGAAAATTGGGTTAGGAATGCTATGCCTAGTGCAGCAAACCATACCTGTATATCAAAGCAAGAAACATCTTGTAAAGCAAGAAACATTCTTCCCTTGAGGAAGTCTGAGTAGGATCCGGCAGCAAAGGGGGTCAAAATCCTTCCCAAACAGCCAATCACTCCATATTCTGCTGATTGGAAGATGTTCCCCAGCGCAATGCTGATGAGCCTCATTGGCAGTCGGATGAGAAAGAAACTGTAGAAGGGATTGATTTGCCTACCAGGCTTGGCCTACATGACAGCTGAAGTAACCCTTTTCTTCCTGGCACTTTAGGGACAGGTGGAAGTAAGGTTGTATTTGTTTTGACCAGAGTGGCAGGGTCCTTTCTATAGCAAAAGGATTTGTCTGTGTCTGTGAAGATAAATGCAGCCAGCAGCCTGAGAACTGTTGCTTGTCTGATATCTTTCCCACTTATCTGTCCTCTTTCTTTGCCCTTTGGAACACAGAGGAGTGTGAAGCAGGCAGAGGATAGTAAAGCTATTGAGCAGACAAAGGGAAATAGGTGGCAGGGAACAGAAATGGACTGAGAATGATCAGAGTAGTGGAAGAGCAAGGTTGCCCTCATGGTAAGGTATCTGAATGCCACGCCGAAGAACTGGATTCTATCTCTGCCTCTGTCACAGAGTTCCTGGGTGAATTCTGGGCAAGTCACGTAAGCCCAGATCGTTGCACGGGGGAGGGGCACTAATTGTGTGTTCTTTATTTTCTGGACACTGGATTTGAGATACATGCAGCCAGATTTACAGAAGTGCTGAGCACTCCCAGCTGCAACGGAAGTCAAAGGGAACCATGCTTTGAACATGTAAACCAGGGGTTCTCAAACTGGGGGTCGGGACCCCTCAGGAGGTTGTGCACTATGAGTCTCCACCCCAAACCCGCTTTGCCTTCAGCATTTATAATGGTGTTAAATATATAAAAAAGTATTTTTAATTTATAAGGGGGGGTCACACTCAGAGACTTGCTATATAAAAGGGGTCACCAGCACAAAAGTTTGAGAATCGCTGATGTAAACTATGATAAAAATGTTAAGTATTCTGAAAAATCAGGCCCCAGGCCTCTCAAGTTGAGCACCCAAAATAGCAGATAGTTTTGACAATGCTGACCTTAACTTCTCTGAAGATATCCTCATTCAACTTCTTTCATGTGTATTGTCATACATATAAAGGGAAGGGTATCCACCTTTCTGTATACAGTGCTATAAAATCCCTCCTGGCCAGAGGCAAAATCCTTTCACCTGTAAAGTGTTAAGGAGCTAAGGTAACCCCACTGGCACCTGACCCAAAATGGCCAATGAGGGGACAAGATTCTTTCAAATCTGTAGTGGGGGGAGAAAAAAAAAGTTTGGTCTGTCTGTGTGATGCTTTTACTGGGAACAGATCAGGAATGCAGCCTCACAACTCCTGTTAAGTTAGTAAGTAATCTAACTAGAAATACGTTAGATTTCCTTTTGTTTAATGGCTGGTAAAATAAGCTGTGCTGGATGGAATGTATATTCCTGTTTTTGTGTCTTTTTGTAATTTAAGGTTTTGCCTAGAGGGATTCTTTATGTTTTGAATCGGATTAACCTGTAAGGTATTTACCGTCCTGATTTTACAGAGGTGATTCTTTTACCTTTTCTTTAATTAAAATTCTTCTTTTAAGAACCTGATTGATTTTTCATTGTTCTTAAGATCCACGGGTTTGGGTCTGTGTTCACCTATGCAAATTGGTGAGGATTTTATCAAGCCCTCCCCAGGAAAGGGGGTGTAGGGCTTGAGGGAATATTTTGGGGGAAGACATCTCCAAGTGGGCTCTTTCCCTGTTTAAAAGCTTGGTGGTGGCAGCATACGGTTCAAGGACAAGGCAAAGTTTGTACCTTGGGGAAGTTTTTAATCTAGCTGGTAAGAATAAGCTTAGGGGGTCTTTCATGCAGGTCCCCACATCTGTACCCTAGAGTTCAGAGTGGGGAAGGAACCTTGACATGTGTCCTCCACCACCACCTCCTTGAGTCATCTCAAAGTTACCAGCCATTCCTTTTCTTGAGCAGAAGGCTGGCACTGAAAGCCCTGTTTATCTACCTAACCTGTCCATCACAGGCAGCAGCAGGAAAGCTTCCCCAAATGTGTGATGAGAGATATTGGCTAGATCACATAAAGAGACGGCTTTAAGCAATGACAAACTAATTCCATCTCCAGCCACATTCAGTCCTTAGCCTCTCTGCTGAAACATGGCCATGCATTTTGTGATGTAAACGTGCACTAAGTACTGTCACACACAGTCTGTGCCAATAATATCAAGGTAACCCTTTTCTCTCCCTGCTTACACCCTTCAAAAACAATCCAGAATTTTAACCAGGGTTTTATAATCAATATATAATATATGTGAGGAAAGAAGTGTATATAACCACTGCCCAACCATTCTGTAAGGATAGCATTATGGAAACATACTGTTACAGGGAATATTAATAGACCAGTTTTGGCTTATTTGCAACTAAAGCATTATATCAAATCCCATGTGGAAAGCTAAGATTTCAGGAGACCATTAATAAGGATAGAAACACTAAATACAGGAAAAGTCACCTCAAAGGACCTGATCTCCATATAACATAATAGTTATTGCTGGATCTGGAAGATAAAACTACCTTGATGGAAAAATGGGGAAAGGATCTAAAACCAAACATCACTTTGAAACATAAGAAAATAGCCGGAGGAAGGCCAAAACCACATTTGCTTGAGTAACCATTAACAAAAAT